CAGCGCCCGCGGCCCGCTTTTATATCGCAATGGCAGAGGTCGTGGAAGAGGTTGAGGACGAGCTGTACTCTCAGCGAGGCAAGCTCTATCTCGAAGGTGAAACAGGGCATATACATAAACTTTCGGAGTTCCTCGCGGATATCTTGGATCGGCGCTGGGCCCCCCTGGCGGCGCCTCTGGCGCCGCCCCTGGCGCGCTCCGCGCGCCAGGGAGGGGGGATCCAGCGCGGATCCAAGAAATCCTCGTTGACCTCCAACCGTTTATGTTTATGCTTTTCTTTCTTCCTCGAATATCGCTACCGCGACAACGAGTGGAAGGATAGAGGCGTAGGAGAGGCCAAGCTCTTGAAGAACAAGGGGACCGGGCAGGTGCGCTTCCTGTTTCGCCAAGAGACTACGCTCAAGATCGTCTCGAACCACTTCCCAGTCGGAATCGACGACAAGTATCCAGTTGCCTGCGGCACACCACCTCATCCAACACGCGTCGGCGCAGCAGCGCAGCAGGGTTGCGGTTGAGTTTAAGACCCGTTCCAGTGAAGTCATTGAGTATTGACGACCCCTCCTTGTAGCAGCGTAGTTTCCCCCCATTTCTTGTTTTTTCCCATATTTGAGGTTTCTTGGGTTGGACCCTCTCAGAGCCGTTTCGGGCGCAATGGTTCAACCGAACTCTCCCGATTGTTGGCAGTTGTTGCTCTAATCTGCCGTGGGCTACACTGCAAGCGGCAGGAATTTCGAGTATCTTCGTGCAAGGGTGTTAGTACAAACCCACACAGTTTTGTTTTCAGCTGTTCCTGGGAATCCCTAGGAACCCGAGGGATTTCAAGGATCCCTACGGATTCCTAGGAATCCTATCCAGAAGAATCCTGCGAATCCTTGAGGATCCTGGGGGAACCCATCGAATCCTTAGGAGTCCGTAAGAACCCTGAGGATTCCTATGACTCCTTGGGAATCCCCATGAATGCTGAGGGAATCCAAGGAGTCCTTAGGAATCCGAAGGGCATCCTTAGGAATCCGACGAATCCCTAGGAATCCCTCGGAATCCTAAGTGAGTCCTTGGACTCCTACGAACCTTTCGGAATTCCTAGGGATCGCGTTCAGGATTCCCAGGGATGTCCAGGAATCCGATCCTGAGGAATCCTTCGGATCCTTAGGAATCCATCGGGATCCCAAGGGAATCCTAAGAATATGTTGGAATCCGTATACATGCTTAGGACACCTACGAATGCATATGAATCCTACGGGATCCCTCGGACCCTCAGGAACCCATAGGAACTCCAGCAGTGGCCGCCGCAGGAAACCAATTCTCAATTCTTTTCCCGATCTTGATTTCGTTCTCAATCCAATAAGGTCGCATCCCAAACGTGTAGTTCCTATTGTCATACGGGGGTTAACGGTTATTGGATACCTTTCACGGTTGAGTTCGGTCGAGAAATTTGGGAGATTTCTTGGCGGGTCTTGGGTGCCGTCATGGAGTAAGGGAGTTTCGGCCCTCTTGGGACCGTATCGATGCCCTATTCGGATCATGTTTGGCCTTCTTGGGCGCTTCGTGAGGCTGTCTGGACCGATCCGATACTCGAAAGCCTTTGGTGCAACACCGTCAAAGTCATGAGTTGTTGTTTGGTCTCCAGTGTCGTCTCCCAGGGGCTTCTTGGGACTTCTTGATTGCAGCTTGGCGTGTTCGTACGAGTGCTGGGCCGTCTTGAGGCGTCTTGCAATTTGTATGGTTGTTGGATGTCTTGAAACCGTTACAGAGGCCGAAGAGGCGGCGAGTTCTGGAGGGTGCGTCTGGTGAATTGGGGGTGGGCCCTCGAAAATTACAAATGCCATCGTATCATTTCACTGTCGTGCAGGCGCGGCGGCGCGGATTGCGATCTGAAGCCCAACGCAGGGAGCGAGAAGTGTTGGGTGTGGCTTGCGGAGGACTTCTCCGATGAGGAGCATGGCGCTTACGAGCAGTTCGCGCTGAAATTTGGTAAGGCCGAGCTCGCTAGCGCATTCAAAGAGGCATTTGACTCCGCCAAGGAGCTAAACTCCAAGGTGCCGGGCTTCGTGGTGGAGGGTGGCAAGTTTGTTGCACAGGCGAACGTTGCAAAAGCCGAGGACGCAGCTTCAGGCCCAAGCCCTGCGCCCGACGCTGTCATCAACCCGTTCTCTGGCATGTCTATCTTTGGGAATTCGGCTCCCTCCGAATCGCTGTTTGGAAACGCCTTCGCTGGGCCAGCTGCCAGCGGCCTCTTCGCGAGCAGCGCGGCGTCGTCGGGAGGCCTCTTCGGCGGCTCCAGCGGCAACCCGCAGACTGGGGGCCTCTTCTCGTCGATCTCGGGCAGTGTCTTCTCGTCGAATGGCTCGAGCGGAGGAGGCCTCTTCGGCACCGCTGCGACCTCGGGCTCCTTGTTCTCGCAACCGGCGCAGAATGGCGGCGGCATCTTCGGCGGAGGTTCGGCACTGCCGGCCACCACTCAGCCAGCGGCCGATGGCGACGGTGGCGATGACGGCGAGTACGTGCAAGAGGAGGAGGTCACGACAGTCGAGGGTTGGACGCCTTCGATAACTTTGGAGGTGAAGGAGTCTGTGGAGATGGGCACGGAACAGGAAGACGAGATCTACAGCCAGCGCTCCAAGCTCTACCGCTTCGTGGACGGTGAGTGGAAGGAGCGCGGACTGGGTGACGCCAAGCTCTTGAAGCACAAGGATACCGGGAAGGTGCGCTTTTTGCTGCGGCAGGAGAAGACCATGAAGATAGTGGCCAACCACATAGTCATCGAGCACGACGTTTACTGCAGGCTGGAGAAGAACGCGGACAGCGACAAGATCTGGGTGTGGTCAGCACTGGACTGGGCAGACGAGGAGCAGTCGGCTGAGAAGTTCGGGCTCAAGTTTGGCAACGTGGAGGTTGCCGGCAAATTCAAGGACGCTTTCGAAAACGCCAAGCAAATCAACGCGAAAGCGGGAGGCACCAGCAGCGCGAAGGCGCCCAGTGACGAGCCTGCACCGCCAGTCTCTGGCGGCGGCGCTGCCAGCGGCAGCGGCCTCTTCGCGAGCAGCGCGGCGTCGTCGGGAGGCCTCTTCGGCGGCTCCAGCAGCAACCCGCAGACTGGGGGCCTCTTCTCGTCGATCTCGGGCAGCGTCTTCTCGTCGAATGGCTCGAGCGGAGGAGGCCTCTTCGGCACCGCTGCGACCTCGGGCTCCTTGTTCTCGCAACCGGCGCAGAATGGCGGCGGCATCTTCGGCGGAGGTGCAGCGCAGCCAGCCCCTACTCAGCCGGCGGGCGGTGGCGACGGTGGCGATGACGGCGAGTACGTGCAGGAGGAGGAGGTCACGACAGTCGAGGGTTGGACGCCTTCGATAACTTTGGAGGTGAAGGAGTCTGTGGAGATGGGCACGGAACAGGAAGACGAGATCTACAGCCAGCGCTCCAAGCTCTACCGCTTCGTGGACGGTGAGTGGAAGGAGCGCGGACTGGGTGACGCCAAGCTCTTGAAGCACAAGGATACCGGGAAGGTGCGCTTCTTGCTGCGGCAGGAGAAGACCATGAAGATAGTGGCCAACCACATAGTCATCGAGCACGACGTTTACTGCAGGCTGGAGAAGAACGCGGACAGCGACAAGATCTGGGTGTGGTCGGCACTGGACTGGGCAGACGAGGAGCAGTCGGCTGAGAAGTTCGGGCTCAAGTTTGGCAACGTGGAGGTTGCCGGCAAATTCAAGGACGCTTTCGAAAATGCCAAGCAAATCAACGCGAAAGCGGGAGGCACCAGCAGCGCAAAGGCGTCCAGTGACGAGCCTGCACCGCCAGTCTCTAGCGGCGGCGCTGCCAGCGGCAGCGGCCTCTTCGCGAGCAGCGCGGCGTCGTCGGGAGGCCTCTTCGGCGGCTCCAGCGGCAACCCGCAGACTGGGGGCCTCTTCTCGTCGATCTCGGGCAGCGTCTTCTCGTCGAATGGCTCGAGCGGAGGAGGCCTCTTCGGCACCGCTGCGACCTCGGGCTCCTTGTTCTCGCAACCGGCGCAGAATGGCGGCGGCATCTTCGGCGGAGGTGCAGCGCAGCCAGCCCCTACTCAGCCGGCGGGCGGTGGCGACGGTGGCGATGACGGCGAGTACGTGCAGGAGGAGGAGGTCACGACAGTCGAGGGTTGGACGCCTTCGATAACTTTGGAGGTGAAGGAGTCTGTGGAGATGGGCACGGAACAGGAAGACGAGATCTACAGCCAGCGCTCCAAGCTCTACCGCTTCGTGGACGGTGAGTGGAAGGAGCGCGGACTGGGTGACGCCAAGCTCTTGAAGCACAAGGATACCGGGAAGGTGCGCTTCTTGCTGCGGCAGGAGAAGACCATGAAGATAGTGGCCAACCACATAGTCATCGAGCACGACGTTTACTGCAGGCTGGAGAAGAACGCGGACAGCGACAAGATCTGGGTGTGGTCGGCACTGGACTGGGCAGACGAGGAGCAGTCGGCTGAGAAGTTCGGGCTCAAGTTTGGCAACGTGGAGGTTGCCGGCAAATTCAAGGACGCTTTCGAAAATGCCAAGCAAATCAACGCGAAAGCGGGAGGCACCAGCAGCGCAAAGGCGTCCAGTGACGAGCCTGCACCGCCAGTCTCTGGCGGCGGCGCTGCCAGCGGCAGCGGCCTCTTCGCGAGCAGCGCGGCCTCGTCGGGAGGCCTCTTCGGCGGCTCCAGCGGCACCCCGCAGACTGGGGGCCTCTTCTCGTCGCTGGCCACCTCCACTGGCTCAGCGCTTGCTGGCGGAGGGCAGTCTGCGGCGGGCGCTGCCCCTGCGGCCGACGAGGACGAGGAGGTGGTCGAGGAGGAGGTCACCACGATCCCAGGCTGGGCTCCATCCGTGAACCTGGAGGTGCTCGACCAGATCACCACTGGAGAAGAGGAGGAGGAGGAGATCTATTCCCAGCGATCTAAGCTCTACCGGTTCCGCGACGGGGAGTGGAAGGAGCGCGGCTTGGGAGATGCGAAGTTGCTCAAGCACAAGACCTCCAGCAAGGTTCGATTCATGCTCCGCCAGGAGAAGACTATGAAGATCGTGGCAAATCACTTTGCGTTGGCCGTCGGGCCGCTCTGTGACCTTCAGCCGAACATGGGGAGCGAAAAGTGCTGGCAATGGATGGCCCAGGACTACTCGGAGGACGAGCCCGTGGTAGAGCAGTTCGGGCTCAAATTCGGGAGCGCGGAACTTGCCGGCGCCTTCAAGGAGGCCTTCGACGGCGCGAAGGAGCAGAACCTGAAGGTGAAGGAGTTCGCCGACAAAGCTGCGGGCACCCCACGGGAGCCTGCGGCCAAGAAGGAAGAGCCCAAGCCGCAGCCAGCCAGCCTCTTCGGCGGCGCCAGCGGGGGTGCACCCGCCGGCACGAACCCGCTCGTCGGCCTCCGCTCGCCCCCGGAGGTCTCCTGCACGCCCGCGGCCTCCAGCGGCAGCGGCCTCTTCGGAGGCCTTGGCTCTGGCGGCGGCGCGGCGCCCTCCACTTCGGGCAGCCTGTTCGGCGGCGCCGCCACCACCGGCGGCGGCAGCCTCCTCGGCGGCCCAGCTGCCACCGGCGGCAGCCTCTTCGGCGGCGCGGCGTCCAGCGGCAGCCTCTTCGGCGGCGCGGCGTCCAGCGGCAGCCTCTTCGGCGGCGCGGCGTCCAGCGGCAGCCTCTTCGGCGGCGCGGCGTCCAGCGGCAGCCTCTTCGGCGGCGCGGCGTCCAGCGGCAGCCTCTTCGGCGGCTCCGCATCCAGCGGCAGCCTCTTTGGCGGCGCGGCGTCCAGCGGCAGCCTCTTTGGCGGCGCGGCGTCCAGCGGCAGCCTCTTCGGCGGCTCCGCGTCCAGTAGTGGCGGCCTCTTTGGCAGCTCCGCGCCCAGCGGCAGCCTCTTCGGCGGCTCCGCGTCCAGCGGCAGCCTCTTCGGCAGCTCCGCATCCAGCGGAGCCGCTGCAGGTGCGGCGATGGCCCTCGGCGCCACCCCGAAGGCAGCTCCTGCGCCTCCCAAGCAATCGCCCGCGCCGGAGGTGGACAAGGGCGGCGCCCAGAAGGAGTCGACGACAGGCAAAACAGGCGGCAAGAGCCCCCTCGAGCTCATGGCCGAACAGCAGCAGAAGGACAACTGGCGTTGCGATGGTTGCTATCTGCAGTACCCGACCAGCCTGTACGAGTGCGGCGTGTGCGAGATCGCGCGGCCTGGGTACGAGGACAGAGCCGCCGAGGAGAAGGCCAAGAAGCAGCAGGGCTCGCAGAGTGCTGCGGCCGCCTTCCTCGGCACGGGGCAGGCCACGACGACAGCACCCGCGCCAGCGCCGGCGCCGCCGGCGTCCTCGGGCGCCCCGCTCTTCGGGTTTGCGACGGGCGCTCCCGCCGGGGCGCCCGCCGTGCCGGCCCCGGGCGCCGCCGCCCCCGTCTTCGGGTTTGCGGCGGCGGCCCCCGCGGCGGCCGCGGCAGCGCCGCCAGCCCCCCCCCCGCCGGCACCCGGGCAGGCCCCGCCCGCCGCGCAGCCCGCGGCCGGCTTCGGCTTCCACTCGCCTGGGGCGGGGCTCCCGCCGCCCCCCGCGCCGCCCGCTGCGGGGGCCTACGCCCCGCCGCCTCCCAGGCAAGATGCCGCCTGGCCCTCCAGGCCGCTCGAGGACGAGCCCGGGTCGCTCCGCCAGGTCCTTGGGCAGCGTGAACCACTAGTTAACTGCTAGGGGGATGGGCTCAGGAGGGGATGCCTCGACCACGGATCGCCCATTCATCGCCGATGGGGGGCAGGACGATGTGTGCCCCACGAATTGGCCCTTCCCCTGACTCGAGGAATACACAAGGGCATAGACATAATAACATAATGTCTCGAGTCTCTCAGCTCCGCGCGGATGTCTTGGGTCGGCGCTTGGGCACCACTGGCGGCGCCTCCGGCGCCACCCCTGACGCGCTCCGCGCTCCATGGAGCTGGGCGCCGATCTAAGAAATCCGCGTGTACCTCCGAGAAATTGCGGTGGGGGCGTTCGTCAAGGAATGTGCCCAGTAGGCTTCAGACCCTGCTTGATTTTTCTGATCTACCGTGGTGCCCATGGCCGATCCACGATTGGAGCTCCACGGGCTTCCAAACCCTGGATTCCCTGGTTCGATGGTTCCTCACCTTCTGTTGATGTCTTCTGTTCCTCCACGGTTGGACCGTTGGACTTAGGCACAAGATCGAGGTCGGTTCGGGGAGGGTGCCCTTATGTTCTTCGTGTCTGTTGGATGCTCTTGTGCATCCGGGGGGGGGGGGAACACACCCGTATCTTCGTGAGTTTGGCCGGCGGAAGGTCTCATGTTCTTGAAGGATGTTCTTGGGGAAACCATAAGGTACCGATACCACCAATCCGCTCCGCGGACCTCTCCTGGAGTGCGCTCTGACCAGAATTTCGAGGCGGATCCAGCGGTGGCGACAAGAGGGCCTTCGGGGAGGCCCCCGAGAAGGGCCCAAAGGGGCGGAGGGCAGGCCATGGGGGTGCCTGTCCCTTCTCTGAGCTGTTCTGTCCTGGGCCTGGCTGTGCGAACGTTGCCCCTCAGATCGGCGTCACCCCAACATATACTAACACTATGTGTGCGTCGCCCCCCCCCCCCCCCCCAGGGGCGACGCGCGCACCGAGAAATCTCACAGTACACGCGGCGTGGCGGGTGCTCTCTGGCCACGACGCTCGGGAAACGATACGCTGCAAGATGGGCATACTGTATGTTCGGGTCGCACGCGCGCCTCCAAGGAGGACGTGTCGTACAGGCCTCGGAACAAAGTAGCGAACAGATGCCACACTCATCCATCAACGCCTCCCCCTCCCCCCAATGCTGAAAGTTGGCGGTGGGTCTGATGAGATGCACTCCGACCGCAGTCTCCCCCGCGCGTGCCAACATTGAGTTTGGGGGGGAGGGGGAGCGTTCAGTAATCGTTTCCCTCCGCCGTACCCGTGCGCCCCTGTGCCTTCCCTCCGAGGTGGAGTCGGCGCTGCGCAGGCTGGAGGACCGCGTCGACGCCGCCGAGGAGCGCGCGCGCCGTGCCGAGGAGCGCGCGCGCCGGGCGGAGGAGCAGGCGCGCAGGGCCGAGGAGGAGCTGGGCAGCCTGAGGCAGGGCTCCACAGCCTCCCGGCCTCCCCCTCCTCCTCCCGGCCTCCTCCTCCTCCTTTTCCTTCTCCTTCTCATCTTCCTCCTCCTCTTCCTCCTCCTCCTCCTCCTGCCCCTCCTCCTCCTCCTCCTCCTCCTTCCTACTCCTCCCTCCTCCTCCCGGCCTCTCCCTCCTCCTCCTCCATCTTCCTCCCCTCACCTACTTCTCATCTTCCTCCTCATCTCCTCCTCCCTTCATCCTTCCTCCTCCTCCTCATCTCTCATCTTCCTCCTCCTCCTCATCATCCCGGCTCCTCCTCCTCCTCGCTCCTCCTTCCTCCTCCTCCTCCTCCTCCTCATCCTCCTTCTCATCTTCCTCCTCCTCCTCCTCCTCCTCCTCCTCCTCCTTCTCATCTTCCTCCTCCTCCTCCTCCTCGCTGCCGACCGCGCGCTTTTTCGACGGCCGAGGGCCGAGGGCCGAGGCGCGCTCGGGCTCTCCCAGGTCGACTCGACTCGACTTCGATGATTTCGGTCGAGCCCGATGCGGTTCGATGTTGGCTTCCGATTCGGAGTTCGGTTTCTCAGTCGAGGCCCGATTCGCCTGCTGATTGTTGTCGAATCGACTTCTGCCGACCTGACTGCCGATGTCCGTCGATCCGATTCCTTCCGATCGCCGCTCCGACCCGTCGATCCGAGTCGGGGCCCTCCTGCCCCGAGGCCGCAGCTGGATCAGCTGTCGAGGAGGCAGCAGGAGGACAGGGCGCTGCAGCAGGAGCTCGCGGAACGGGGCCGCAGGTCGAGAGGAAGAAGCGACGGCAGGCACACACACACACACACGCACACACACACACACACACACACACACACACACACACACACACACACACACACACACACACACACACACACACACACTACACACACACACACGCACACGCACGCACACACACGCACACACGCACACACACGCACGCACGCACGCACGCACGCACGCACGCACGCACGCACGCACGCACGCACGCACGCACGCACGCACGCACGCACGCACGCACACACACACACACACACACACGCACACACACACACACACACACACACACACACACACACACACACACACACACACACACACACACACACACACACACACACACACACACACACACACACACACACACACACACACACACACACACACACAGCGGGGGCCCCTGCCAAGGAGCACCCTGCTTGCTTTTAGGGTGCCCTGGGTTTTGAGGGTTCAGCCGTGGAATGCGTGATGTTTTTATACCATGCCGTGGAGCGCGCGACGTTCCCGCACCAAGAGAATCAGTGGACGTGTCCTGGGGTCTCAGGGTGGGGTTTCCTGTGGAAGGGTTCCTGTGGACTGGCCTCCGCTGTAAGCCGTCGGAGCTCCGCGTGGATCTCTCGGGTCGGCGCTGGGTTCCCCCCGTCGGCGCTGCGGCGTCGTCCCCTGGCGCGCTCTGCGCGCCAGCGCCGGGAGAGGCCCGGGGCCGGCGCCGATGCAAGAGATCCCCGCGGAGCGCCGAAAGTTTCTGTTCACGGAGCTTGGCATCGCTCGGACGTGTGCACTTTTCCTTCGGCGAGGGCCATCGAGGAGCATCCTCGATCGCTTGGCGAAAAAAAACCACGCACGAAGCCAGCAAGAAGCACCAGGGAGTGGACGTCCGAGCGATGGCCAGGGAGCGTGTCCTTCTCCTGGCAGGGCTGGGGAGGAGCTGGGCGGCCTGAGGCCACAGGTCGACCAGCTGGCGAGGAGGCAGCAGGAGGACGGCGTGCGCCTGCGGTCCCTGCAGGACCAGCTGGCGGAGGCGAGGGAGTCGCTCACGAGGGACCTGACGCAGGAGCTTCGCAGCTCGCGGGGCTCTTGGGAGGCCTCGAGCCAGACGATGCAGAAGGCGCTCCAGGTGTCGAACCAGGCGCTCCAGGTCTCGAACCAGGCCTTCGAGGCTACCACCGCTCTCCGAGAGGAGTACAACGCATTCGCTGCCGACACCACTCGCGTCAACAAGCAACGCTTCGAGGACCTCGCATCCCTGGGCGATCAGCACAGGCTGGAGGCCGTGAGAGGGATGTCGCTGCCCAGCCGCATCATGTATCTGCAGTCCCAGCACATGCAGCAGCTGGGCCAGCAGCTGGGCTCGGCGCCTGGCGCCCAGCAGGCGCGTGGGGCCCTGAGCATCGGGCGGTGACCTCACGTTCTCGCCCTGCCGCGCTTCTGCCACCATGTGTTCCCCCCCCCCTCCCCACCCTGCAGGAGACGCGGTTGAGCGTGAGATCGTATCGCAGCCTCACCCAATGGCGGCATGCGGCTCTTCACAGCGTAGTCTGCGGCGGCCACATCTCGGGGCAGACGGTGTGTAGGTCAGGGCAGCTCTGCGAGCGTGCCAGCCAGGAGGCGCTTCGGTTTTGGACCAGCGAGCAGAGCTGCCGCCCTTCGCGGCGATGAGACTCAGCTCGTCCGAAGCCCTCGAGACGTGTGCTGACAGGCGGATACTCCTTTGGGGAAGAGGATGATGATGAGGAGGAGGAGGAGGAGAAGGAGGAGGAGGAGGAGGAGGAGCAGGATGATTCAGTAGCAAATCGTGGGAGCCGTGTATACCCTCGTAAATTCCATTTTTCGAGCGCAGTAGCGTCGACTGGCGTCTGGTAATCGATGAGATATCGCCGATGTATCGTCGATCAGCGCTGATTAGCGTCGATTCGCGTCGGTTTAGCGTTGAGCAGCGACGATTCGCAAGAACCAGCAAGATGGTATTGGAGGCTCCCATGAATTGCCCCAGAAGGACGTGGGGAGAATGGCATCAGTTTAGGTCGTGCACCCGCTTGCTGGCTCTGGTGGTATGCAGATCAGTCCAGAGCCTGGAGATCGCCAGTCGTCGACCCAGGACGCGCGCGGGGAGCTGGAAAAAATGAGGAAGTGATGCCTGAGGGAGCCGGGAGCCCAGACTTCGAAGTGTCGCCAAGAAGTGGCAGCTGGCGTTTCTGTCGACTACGATTACGACTGCGACCACCATTCGACTACGGCTATAATTACGACTCGGACTCGAGTAGTTAGCGACCACGACTACGAGTACGACTGCGATTGCGACTACGACTACGACTATTACTACGACTACGACTACGACTGCGACTATTACTACTACTACTACTACTACTACTACTACTACTACTACCACTACTACTACTACCACTACTACTACTACTACTACTACTACTACTACTACTACTACTACTACTACTACTACGACTACTACTACTACTACTACTACTACTACTACTACTACTACTACTACTACTACTACTACTACTACTACTACTACTACTACTACTACTACTACTACTACTACTACTACTACTACTACTACTACTACTACTACTACTACTACTACTACTACTACTACGACTACTACGACTACTACGACTACTACTACTACTACTACTACTACGACTACTACTACGACTACTACTACTACTACTACGACTACTACTACTACTACTACTACTACTACTACTACTACTACTACTACTACTACTACTACTACTACTACTACTACTACTATTTCTGCTTCAGGAGCGCTCCCACGGAAAATCCTAGCTCAGAAATTCGACCCTCAGAATCTCCACCCTCAGAAGTTGCTTCCTCAGAGAGACTGTTAAAGCTCATGCCCCACGAGGGCCCTCAGAAATTCTCCAACATCTAGCCGCCGGAACACAAAACGCTCAACATGGTCCCAGCACGGCGAACAATAGTGGGAAACGAATCGGTGGCCCGCGACGCTGGCGCCGACGAAGAAGTTGTACAAGTACATTGTAGATGTACCACCCTATACTAGAATCTTCCTGCATACACGGCGGTATGAAAGGAAAGAGCGTGAGCACCGCCTTCGGCGACAAAGTTGTCGATCTATACACTGCGAATCCTCTTGCACACGTGCTCAGAATCCCTTCTGTCGTGCATGAAAGCCCAGGGACAACCCCCCCCCCCCCAATCATGCAATCCAACACGGCGAACAATAGTGGGAAACTGATCGGTGGGCCGCGTTGTGGGCGCCGACGCTGAAGATGTGGGCGCAGATTGTCGATGTATCAGCGTAGGGGCTGGCCCTCACGAGGGCCGCTCCGTCCTTCCTCTCCTCGTCATGCCTCTCGTCCTTCTTTTTGTGCTGCTGCTGCTCCTGCTCCTCCTCCTCCTCCTCCGTAGCATCGTCACCATCACCATCACCATCATCATCACCATCACCATCATCATCATCATCATCATCATCATCACCATCACCATCACCATCACCATCACCATCACCATCACCATCATCATCATCATCATCATCATCATCACCATCAGCATCAGCATCGTCACCATCACCATCACCATCATCATCATCATCATCATCATCATCATCACCATCATCACCATCACCATCACCATCACCATCACCATCACCATCACCATCATCCTTCCCTCCTCCTCCTCCTCCTTCGCCTCCTTCTCCTCACTAGGAATGAGACGAGGAGGAGGAGGACGAGGATGCGGAGGAGGAGGAGGAGGAGGAGGAGGAGGAGGAGGAGGAGGAGGAGGAGGAGGAGGAGCAAGAGGAGGAGGAGGAGGAGGAGGAGGAGGAGGAGGAGGAGGAGGAGAGGAGGAGGGGCGGGCTCATTCCCCGCCGGAAAGCAGGGGGTGGGGTGGGAGGGGGCAACAACTGAAGACCCCCCGAGGCAACCTCAAACCGCGGGCGGAGAACTGCCCCTCCGGCAGCGCACCTGCGCTGCCTTGCGCGACGCATCCCGAGAGCCCCGACCAGCTGCAGCAGGAGGAGGACGCCCCTCGGGAGGAGCTCCGGAAGCCGCTCGAGCGCACCGGCCTCGCCAGCTGCGGCCCGCCTCCTCACCCCGGGGGGCGGTGCAGCGCGGGGGCGAGGGCTGGCCACACACCAGGCCACCCCGGCCCAACCCGAAGGCCTCAATCTGCCCTCCATTCCCAATGTGTCGGGCGAAGAGAACTATGCACATGCACCGATCCTGGCAAGGCCCATCCTTGACCCAGGATGGGTGCATATTCCTTCCTGGCCAAGGTAGGAGGGCGTATGCACCGATCCTGGGCTCAGGATGGGCCTGGCCAGAATCGGTGTATGTGCATAGTTCTTTTTCCTCTAAATGTGGGGGGGCTGTCGGGGAACATACAAAAACACACCGGGAGCCCATACCCCCCCCCAATCCGAAGTTCGGGTCTTCGGGTTGGGTCGGGGTGGTCTGGTAGGTAGTCAGGGGCTGGCCTGCCACCTGCTTCGATAGACCCTGGCGCCCTCAAATTTCGACGTTCGATGACGATAACGATGACGATAGCGATGACGATGACGTCGATGACGACGACGAAGACGAAGACGATGACGATGACGATGACGTCATCGTCATCGCCATCGTCCAGGTTCTCGGATGCAGTTTCGCCCTCTCTTGGATGTGCTGTGGCATGCCCGCGCGAGTAGTCGGCACGGCCTCCCTCGTCTGCTTCGCCCGCGTGGGCAGCCTCGTGGCGCCCTCCCGCCCCGTCCCAGTAGAGGGAAGCAGTTCACGGACACCCCCCTCCCCCCAAGTTCAAAGCTGGCACTTGTTGGGAAGACTGTGGTCAAAGTGCAAATCATCCGGGCCACCGCCAACTCGTATCCTGGGGGGGAGGGGGGGCATTAACAGATGAATCGAATATGGCATGCGCACACAGAATCCATGCGCCTGCCGCTGGAGCGGCGCTTGGGCACCACTGCCGTCACTGAGGCGGGTTTCTGGCAGGACGCGCGGGTAGATGAGTCCGCAGTTGGTATTCCTTCGGACCACACGGCATACAAACAAAGCTCCAGGCAAAGTGTGGCATGCGTGCTTCGAAAAGAAGGACGAACAGCATGTGCAATGACTTTGGACGGCGGCGGCGCCAGAGGCGCCGCCAGGAAGGCCCAGCGCAGATCCAAGAAGTCCGTGCGGACCCCCGAAAGTTTCTGTTTATGTTGTTTTTCTTCCTCCACTGTTCGCTCACTTTTTTTCTCATTCCGCGTGTGAGTGCCCTCCGCCTCTTCCCGTTCTCCACGGCCGCCCTGTCTGTCTTTTCCCTCCCCCTTGAACGCTGGCCAATTCGCGCATCAGTTGCCCCGATGGCCCGCCCGCTGGAGCAGCACTCCTGCCCCGCCGCCGATTTTTTTTCCGAGGCCCTCGCGCCCGCAGCCCGGGCCGCCGGCCCAGGACGAGGAGCCCGCCGCCGCGGCGCAGGCGGCGGCCCCCCCGGACGTCGCACCCGCGGCGCCCGCGGACGCCGCGCCCGCCGCGCCCGCGGCGGCCGCGCGGGGCGGCGCGGAGGCCGCGCTGAGCGCCCAGGACGAGGCCCGCAAGAGTGACCCTTCGTCGGGGTCGACGGCGGCGACGACGACGCCGACGACGGCGACGACGACGACGACGACGAGGCCGACCTACGCCGGCCGACGCCGACCGAGGCCTTCTGTGCGGACCCACAGGGGTCCCGCCAGCACTGGCTGCCGCGCTCGGGTATCTTGCATGAGGCCTCCCCCGCGGCCTCCGAAGGTTGAGCACCGAAGGTCACACTCTCGACGCCCCGCCCAGATTTCTTGGCTCTGCGCAGGCCCCGCCCCCCAGGCGGCGCGTCCCGCGCTGCTCCTGGCGCGCTCCGCACGCCAGGGAGGAGCGTCCAGCGCAGAATCAAGGAATTCGCGCGGCCTGTCGAACATCTATGCTTGTGCCGTCTTGTCTTCCCCCCATCTTGCCCAGCCGGTGCACGACACTGGCCACTGCCTGCGACATGTTTCCCCAGGCTTCTCTGTGCTGATGCGAGCAAGGCTCCTTCCTGCCTCAAAGCAGAGGGCCGCGCCGCAGCAGTGATATTTCTGTCCGTCAGCGCCTCAACAATCAAGGGAGGAAAAAATACCCAGACTGGACAATCGGCGTTTACTCAAGTGCCCTGGGCGTTCACTAAACAGCCCCGCCCTGTTCGGTTCCTTCTTCGGGCGCTTGTACTCGACGTTTTCGCGCGTCGGGGTGGTTATGGTGGGGGTGAATTTTTTCATTTCTAAACAAGAGAACAACTCCTGCGTGGAGCCCAGAGGCGCCCGCCGCGGCAGCGGCCCCGCGGGCCACCGCCTCCAGCGCCGGCGCGCACGGCGCCAGCGCGCCGGGCGGCGGCGTGCAGTCTGGCGGCGCAGCCCCTGGAGGCGGCCGGCGCCCTGGCGGGTGGCGGGTCGGGCGAAAGGGGGGGATTGGGGAAGGGGGGGTTACGAAATTTGCGGCATGCAGCTGGTTTCGGCCTCGCCGAAGGGCCCATTCCTCGATATACCTGGCCGCTCCCGGCGCCGGGAGGCGCCGGGAAAATCAGCTACGTGAGCTGGTTCTCAAAGCCCCCCTTTGCTATATCCCCCCCTTCGCCCGACCCGAGGGTGGCGGTGACCCCCCAGACAGGGTCGCGTCGCTAAACGAGGAGGAGCTAGGAGGAGGAGGAGCTAGGTGGAGGAGGAGGAGGAGGAGGAGGAAGAAGAGGAGGAGGAGGATGGAGCAGGATGGAGGAGGAGGAGGAGGAGGAGGAGGGAGAGGAGGAGGAGGAGAAGGGCGGCAAGTTTGTTGTTACCTTCGGCGCCATGGGGGCCCTCGCGGGGCCGCGGGGCCGTCCCGGGGGCGCCTCGGGACGCGAGGCCGGCCCGGGGGAGAGGCTCCTGGACTTCCGGGGACGCCGTTTACTGAAAAATCAGGGCGTATCGCCTGTCTGGGCCTCCCTCCTCCCTCCTCCCCTCCTCCTCCCTCCCTCCTCCTCCTCCTCCCTCCCTCCCTCCCTCCCCCTCCCTCCCTCCCTCCCTCCCTCCCTCCTCCCCCCTCCCTCCCTCCCCCCCTCCGCTGGAAATCAGCGGCGAGCGAGG